CTTGCTGAGGGTGCACTCTGTGCCTTCCTCCAGGTCATTGATGAATATATTGAACAAGACTGGGCCCAGGACTGACCCCTGGGGGACACCACTAGCCACAGGCCTCCAACTTGACTCTGCGCCATTCACCACAACCCTCTGAGCTCGGCCATCCAGCCAGTTCTCAACCCACCTCACCATCCGCTCCTCCAGGCTGCACTTCCTGAGTTTACCTAAGAGAATGTGATGGGAGGCAGTGCCCAAAGCCTTGCTGAAGTCCAGGGAGACAACAACTACTGCTCTGCCCTCATCTACCCAGCCAGTCATCCCATCATAGAAGGCTATCAGATTGGTCAAACGTGATTTCCCTTTGGTGAATCCATGCTGACTACTTCTGATCACCTTCTTGTCTTCCACATGCTTAGTGAGGATCTCCCGGATGAGCTGTTCCATCACCTTTCTGGGGATGGAGGTGAGGCTGACAGGCCTGTAGTTCCCTGGCTCCTCCTTCCTGCCCTTTTTTAAGGACTGGCGTGACACTGGCTTTCTTCCAGTCCTCAGCCATCTCTCCTGACTGCCATGACCTTTCAAAGATGATCAAAATTTCACAAATTCCAATACACACATCCAAACGAATTTCCTGTGCATCTCGATACCACTTTTAGGGAAAATAAGTTTGTTGGAAAGATATACTGTCAAGACTGTAGGATTATCTGAATAAGCTTTCAAGTATATTCCTAAATGCTTGCCCCACTCTTGCTCTCCGACATCCTCTTATGCCCCAAATAATCAAGTGAAAAAGCAAAATACTATTACCTTTATGCTTTAAGAAATAAAAAAACACTCTATCTTTAAGGAAAAAACTGAACAATATTCTTTACTCTTGGATAGGCTAAGAATGATAATCAGTGTATATCAGTACCACCAAAACTACTGGAATACGACATTTTTGAAAACTTCTGAAGTGTATTAAAGTATTTAAATAATACTTTGCATTCATTCTATTAGACTGTATCATCCGCCTTCTCCAAATTATCTTTGGGCCTTTATTTCATGCCATATAGCAAAGTTTACCATTTTAATTACTTAAATTGATGACAAGTAGAGGAAATACTTGTTTAGCTAAGTGATAAATTAGTTGCCCTGTGAAGTCAAATTGATTAAAATGACCTGACTAAAAACAAGTGTCTGATGTGGTAATGGTCTTATGCATGTTTTGTTAAGTTTGACAGCATCATGTTATGAGAGTTCACAAGTCTGCCCCTCATTTGCAGTTTATGAAGTAATCAAGCATGTTAGCACAGGGAAGCGAGGATTCTCCAGAACGCAAAAAAGATTCTGAAGTAGATTCTTACTAAGTATCAGGAAAATAAGCATAGCACTGTATTTAAAGCAATGAAGTACAGGCTTGCAGATGATCTAGAAACAGTTCCAAACTTGGTTTTATTTCTTTGGTCAAAACTCTAGGCCATAGACAACTCCTCCTAAACTAGGAGGAAAAAAATCAAGA